TTTTATTTGCGCCAAGAACTTCTGCCAAACATGACACCCCTTGCGTGGTGATCTGTTGAACACAACAGCTGCATCTTTTAATATGCCATTCTTCAATTTTCTGTTCACTTTATTGGTCAAAAGCATTTCAATAACTTTGTGTGTCCATTCCATTTAAACAGTGTGCTTATTTGCAAAATCTTGCTCTTGAAAGATGATACTGTATTTCTTGTTTGGACAGGAGGAGTTAAATGGGGTTGCAAGTGACATGGAACTGAAATGAGTTCCAACTCAGTTGAAGGAGGGATATGATTCATATGAATATCCTGGACCATTTCAGAAAAGTGCAGAAAAGAGGAAATTGAGAAGAAGAGGAGCTCTTTCTTTAGTTTTGCTTTTGGCAGTTGAATGTCATTTTGTGATGGTGTACTCTATATTTATTCATGTAGGCCCTGTCGTAAGTGTAATGGTGGGAAAAATGAAATGTTTAAGTTTCATTATTCATGAGCCCCCCCTGTTGTAGGTGTAATGGTGGGAAAATTGAAATGATTAAGTTTCATTTGGTTGTGCGTAGTGTTTCCGTGGGAAATTATTTCCCTCTTCAAACTAGTTGGATTAGACATGTTGTGTGCTGTAGCTTTTGTACTTGTTCTAAGGCTGATCACAACGTTGGATGAAAAAGCCACTTTTCACCCCCAAAATTGCTGCAACCCACGTGAAATGGTATACTAGGGTGTAAAATGTATTTGGGGCACCTGGAGTTGAAATCTGCCACTCCGAAGTACATAACTTGTTGAGCCCGTGTAAAATTAAAATTCTATTTTTTTTAGGCTAAAGGGACAAATAGGCCCTTGAACTGATTTAAAGTGTTCAATTAGCCCCTTATATAGGAGATTTTGCCCGGCCGTCGCCAATTGGGGCGGTTCCCGGTGGAATTTTTTGATGAAATTTTTTGAGCATTTTCTTCATTAAGTCTAGTTTACTCATACCAAATTTTAGCTAAAAATTTAACCGGGAAGGCAGTCAAATGATTTTTTTGAAGATAAATGCGAAGTTAAACAGCGCAGTACATTTCGGAAAATCATTTGACTGCCTTCCCGGTTGAATTTTTAGCTGAAATTTGGTATGGGTAAACTAGACTTAATGAAGATGATGCTAAAAAAGTTTCTCAAAAAAATTCTACCAGAAACCGCCCCAATTAGCGACGGCCGGACAGAACCTCCTATATAAGGGGCTAATTGATCACTTTAAGTGAGTTCAAGGGTCTATTTGACCCTTTAGCCTTTTTTGGCTAAAGGGACAAATAGGCCCTTGAACTGATTTAAAGTGTTCAATTAGCCCCTTATATAGGAGATTTTGCCCGGCCGTCGCCAATTGGGGCGGTTCCCGGTGGAATTTTTTGATGAAATTTTTTGAGCATTTTCTTCATTAAGTCTAGTTTACTCATACCAAATTTTAGCTAAAAATTTAACCGGGAAGGCAGTCAAATGATTTTTTTGAAGATAAATGCGAAGTTAAACAGCGCAGTACATTTCGGAAAATCATTTGACTGCCTTCCCGGTTGAATTTTTAGCTGAAATTTGGTATGGGTAAACTAGACTTAATGAAGATGATGCTAAAAAAGTTTCTCAAAAAAATTCTACCAGAAACCGCCCCAATTAGCGACGGCCGGACAGAACCTCCTATATAAGGGGCTAATTGATCACTTTAAGTGAGTTCAAGGGTCTATTTGACCCTTTAGCCTTTTTTGGCTAAAGGGACAAATAGGCCCTTGAACTGATTTAAAGTGTTCAATTAGCCCCTTATATAGGAGATTTTGCCCGGCCGTCGCCAATTGGGGCGGTTCCCGGTGGAATTTTTTGATGAAATTTTTTGAGCATTTTCTTCATTAAGTCTAGTTTACTCATACCAAATTTTAGCTAAAAATTTAACCGGGAAGGCAGTCAAATGATTTTTTTGAAGATAAATGCGAAGTTAAACAGCGCAGTACATTTCGGAAAATCATTTGACTGCCTTCCCGGTTGAATTTTTAGCTGAAATTTGGTATGGGTAAACTAGACTTAATGAAGATGATGCTAAAAAAGTTTCTCAAAAAAATTCTACCAGAAACCGCCCCAATTAGCGACGGCCGGACAGAACCTCCTATATAAGGGGCTAATTGATCACTTTAAGTGAGTTCAAGGGTCTATTTGACCCTTTAGCCTTTTTTGGCTAAAGGGACAAATAGGCCCTTGAACTGATTTAAAGTGTTCAATTAGCCCCTTATATAGGAGATTTTGCCCGGCCGTCGCCAATTGGGGCGGTTCCCGGTGGAATTTTTTGATGAAATTTTTTGAGCATTTTCTTCATTAAGTCTAGTTTACTCATACCAAATTTTAGCTAAAAATTTAACCGGGAAGGCAGTCAAATGATTTTTTTGAAGATAAATGCGAAGTTAAACAGCGCAGTACATTTCGGAAAATCATTTGACTGCCTTCCCGGTTGAATTTTTAGCTGAAATTTGGTATGGGTAAACTAGACTTAATGAAGATGATGCTAAAAAAGTTTCTCAAAAAAATTCTACCAGAAACCGCCCCAATTAGCGACGGCCGGACAGAACCTCCTATATAAGGGGCTAATTGATCACTTTAAGTGAGTTCAAGGGTCTATTTGACCCTTTAGCCTTTTTTGGCTAAAGGGACAAATAGGCCCTTGAACTGATTTAAAGTGTTCAATTAGCCCCTTATATAGGAGATTTTGCCCGGCCGTCGCCAATTGGGGCGGTTCCCGGTGGAATTTTTTGATGAAATTTTTTGAGCATTTTCTTCATTAAGTCTAGTTTACTCATACCAAATTTTAGCTAAAAATTTAACCGGGAAGGCAGTCAAATGATTTTTTTGAAGATAAATGCGAAGTTAAACAGCGCAGTACATTTCGGAAAATCATTTGACTGCCTTCCCGGTTGAATTTTTAGCTGAAATTTGGTATGGGTAAACTAGACTTAATGAAGATGATGCTAAAAAAGTTTCTCAAAAAAATTCTACCAGAAACCGCCCCAATTAGCGACGGCCGGACAGAACCTCCTATATAAGGGGCTAATTGATCACTTTAAGTGAGTTCAAGGGTCTATTTGACCCTTTAGCCTTTTTTTTTACTCCACGGGGCGTCTGGGAGAGGGGGTCTGGGGGACCTGGAGTAAATTGGACTGAAACTCACTCAATTGAATTTAAAATTATGTTCCATTTTTAACAAAATATATATCAAAATTCATAATTTTTTATGATCTTTCATATACATTAGTATTGCATATGTAAAGTTGAAAACAATATGAGATTTTAACTGTTCAACGTTTCTAGACCTAAATTTTTGCTTAAATGGATTCAAATGTTAAAATTAAAGATGTTTTTACTTGGACTGTGATTTGCTGGTCTGGTCTGGTAATGTCTGGTCTCTTTGAATTTTTATAACTATCCAAGTCTGGTCTGGTCTGATCTGGTATAGGACGAATTACACTCCGAGTAAAAACATCCTAAGATCTCATAGTTAAATCTTTTTTATTTACATTTTTCAATTATTTTTCTTTTGCAAATAGGTGTGAAGTAACCACTAAAAAAATACACTTCAAATTTATTTATTTTTACATAGGAATATTTGTCTTTTCAAATCATAATTATTCACAACCAAAAATTGGAAAAATATTAGTGTATAAGAATATAAATAAGGATTTAATTAAAAAATGCTGCGTGAATATATTGACGGTGTTGTGTTGCTGAATTTTTTTGAATTGACTGATTGAATACGTATAAATTAGTGAAGAATTTGATTTATTGACGGAGTTGGCTTGCGGTTAGCCTAAGCATTACTAATGCTGCCCGCAAGACCTCACATACGGTGAAAGTGCTTTTGAAGTGTACTTTACTACTTTTCCACTTTTCCAATTTCTTCTTTATTTTATGAGGCAAGGGTAAAATTGGAAACTCAATATAAATCTATAAGTTTTTTTAATCTTCTTGACAGTCAACTTTTGCAACTCAATTTGGGATGGATGGAGTATATTTGAAACGTTGTTCGAAACATTGTTTAACCATTCGTCTTGCTTCAGTATTAAAACAATTTGTTAAAAACAAAAATACTTAAATCTAGAAACATACAAAAATATAGGTTCATCTTGATTAGACAAGCAGTATAGATTGATAAAACTTTATAAATATTCTATGCATGAACATATATTCCTAAACTATGAATTAGTTGTGCATATTGCATATAGTATTTGTAGTTGTGGCTGGTGATGAAAAGAGATAAGTAAGTACAAATCAATGTTAATTTTCAAACCATGAAATATTATGTTTTATGAAGCACTTATTTGAACAATGAGAATCCGACAATACAACCGTGAATGGGTGAAATAGTTTAAGGCCTATTAGTGTGAGACCTATCCAAATTCTCCCATAGAGCCTGAATATGAAAAATAGTTTTGGTCCAACTCCACTTCGATTTTTGCAAGAATATAATGAAGCGATTCTAGTGGAAATTTCATTTTGCTAAAAGGGCTAAAATATTAGTCAAAACCGGGTGATTCAAAACCCAACTGGAACATGACCATGTTTAGCCTTGCTGATCGTATAATTTATTTTTTGGAATGCATAAACTGTCAATAATTTAAGCAAAGATATTAGTGAAAGAATTGGTACACCAATGCAACATGTACGCCTTAGTGCTACAATAAGTTGATAGCATTTGGTAACAAATAAATATTTGAAAACAAAAAAATACGCGTGAAACTCATTTCAACTTTTTTTAAATCAAATACTGAAAAACATTTTTTTAGATTTTGCATTCACTTGGGAAATTGAAACAGGGAGACATCGAAGGTATAGATCGAAACAGGCCAAACAATTTTATACATAATCTATCATTCCATTCTCTTTTCTTATTCCCCATTCTTGAAATTTCCTCACTATTAAGCACAATTATTTTGTTAATATGATATTAGTAATTACGTCAAGGGAATACATAGTACACGACTTTGACGAATGATATATCGTACGTGCTGGCACAATCAACTACTATATCAAAATAAACATACACATGACTTTAGATCAAGTACCCGACCTTAATTATATTACATTGGTGTATATTTAATGCTCTCATCACTTGACAAGTTGACATTGGGCTAATAGTGCTCATTTATTCATTACTTATAGAACTAATTAAAATGTCTCCGCCTTTATCATCTGGGAAAAAATTGATCTTAGAAGGAAGAAGATCAGAAGCACATTGTTGTTCAACCCCAGAAGGCAACCAATCTATGAAGAATGTTGAATTGTCTACGTCAATAGTGAACAACGCATTGATGGGGGTGACAGTTATCTACAACCAAAGACAACAATGATGGTCGAACAATATTTTAGTTAATCATATGAGTAATTCTTGATGTACACCTTTTTTTGTATACTTTTTGTACTCTCACGTGTTTGTCTTTTTTAGACGAACTGCTGGCCTGTGTACACATGCGAAATATGAGGATGTATACAAAAAATGTACAAAAACGTGTAAACCTGGAGTTTTCCCAATCATATGGCTCTTAAAACAACTACTAGCATCATAATTATTAATTATATCAATAAACCAAATTAATAACAATGCTTACATATCCATCTTGAAGATAACTATAATCTGTGCCATCATTGTCCACTTGTTTTTCCCTAACCTGTTCTTAGCATATTATTTTAAGGTTATATAAAAGCATATACAAAACAATGTAGAACTTTCATGGGCAAGAAAATAACTAAATAAGTAGATCATTGAGAAGTTGTCTTACTTCTCTAGCGAATAAAAATTGGTCCTGCCCGGTGTGATCAACACTTGGTTGTGTGGTTTGTGATGGTGTTAAGTCCATAGTCATAGTTGATAGCATTTTCGCTCCATGTCCTTCACTAGTAGCTTGCTTCCATCCCGTTTTGATTAAACTTTTCCCTTGCTTAGTAAGCTTAAAACCCTAGAATAAATCGACAAAAACAGTGTTCTAAATCTTGAACTTGAACTTGCATAATAGCAACAAAATGACGATTTATTCTCGTAACATATATCAATAATCATTACAAGTTCTATAACTTTACTCACTTGTAAATTATACATTGTAATAACTAATAATTCATCCACATTTACGACTTTTCCAACTGGATGTACTATTTCTAGCAAAATCTTTCATGTTGGCATCCCCTTCCATTTTACTTTATTTTTTTCATTAGGGAATTGAAATAGTGCATTGTGTTGGAAATGTCCTTAATATGATCAAAAGCTATAAGACTAATTCAACAAGTTTTCACTCTAGGATATATAATAACTCAAAAAAATCAAATCTTTGTGAGAGTAGATGATTAATACTACTCCATCCATTTCATTAACTTCAAAACTTGCTAATTTTCCCTCCTCTACCCAAACATTAATCACACAGTTTTCATTTAATTATTATATGTATTATATATGTCAGTCAGTTTTGACAATGTTATAAGGGAGGGAAAGAGTATAATTATAATATGTTACGTCTGATTTAGATTATCACATAAAATCCACTATTATTGGGTATATTAGCACTGCAGTCCACATTTTACCTTGTGTTTTTGAACATCTGTTGGCACAACAATATTAAGAAAGCAATTTTTGGGATAAGCTTTACTCTCTATATCAGCCAATATAGATAATATAATGGGTACACAAGCCTCAGCAGCTAGTGTGAAGTGATTGAAATTGCTTTTTCCCCGAATCCTGTCAGTCATTTAAATGAACAATGTTATGCAAAAAAAATTAAGACAAACTAATTAACTCTTTCGCAACTCTTCCCAGGGGTGTATTACATTGCTTACATAAATGCTTTTAAATTTTTCTTTAAAATTTAAAAATAGTGTTTTAAATCAAGTTGAAATTAAAGAAGTTGAAATTGTGTTTTACACTACTTTTGATATTTATTACACAAAAGTACTTTGACAACGTTTGATTTGTTAATGTATTAAAAAAATCATATTTTCAATTTTGTCTTCAATTTGCCTTTGTTTGAAAATTTTAAAATATGAATTTTTACAACATTTGTTAATAGTCCCTTAAACATAATACGAGTAATAGTCAAAGTCATGTATCGGTAAACATGAAAATGAAAATGTTGCAACTAAATAAAATATCTATGAAAAATGCATGCTCATACCACTTAGGGCGTTGGCATGGGGATAAGAGATATGCTAGGCCCGACTCCTAGTTTATATACAGGGTTGTTAACGAATCGAGCCGAGCCCGAACACCCAGAGCTTGGTTCAATTTGGTAATAAGGGTGTTGGGTTCAAGCTCGAAGCTTGACGAGCTTTACAAATGCGACTCTTATTCGGCTCGATAGGCGTTGGATGTTCGAACCGAGCGCTCGACAAGCTCGATAAATATGCTCAAATTTAAAATGTTAGGTGATGCTCGTTAATAGGCTCGTGCTCGAATTATTTGGCAAGTATTCGGTTCGTCAATAATCATATTTAAATTCATAAAGTCATACTAATTATATAAATTTTTTACATATATATAAATTATATTTATAATTTCAGGGTGTTCAATAGGCTCGAGCTCGAACCGAGCCGAATACTACTATGTTCGAGCTCGACTCGATTAATTTTTTGAACTTAAAACTCAGTTTGGGTTCGAGTTCGATAAGGTCCGAAACATTGCTCGAACTCGAATGGTTTGATAAAAGATCGATTAGTTCATAGCCCTTGCTCATTATACATGCATGTCATTGCATACTACATACCAATCGTAGGATAAAGATACAGATGGAACACCATTCATGAATGCCTCTCTTGCACCTGCAACTGTTCCTGAGTAGACACTGCAGTTTGACATGATAAAACTAATAAATTCTGAGACAAAAACTCTACTTGCATACTAGTGTAATCTTTCAAATCAATGAGGTAAGGGGGTCAAACATACACAATCTTACCTCAAAGTACAGAGACACTGTTTCCGAATGATGCGTGATGAAAATTGCGTCAAAAAGTAAATTGACTAACTGTTGCTTCATAACAAAGATGCACAGACAATTTAGTTAACTATTTTTATTTATTCCATCATATTCCCAACTCCCAAGTAAAAAATAATGAGTTTTTGGCTCCATTGAAAATGATGGAATGATTGGAACAACCATATATACAATAATTGTTTGTCAAATTGGGCCACAACAGCTCGTGCCTATGTGAAAAAGTGCATCTTGAAAAATATATAAATTGGTCATAGAGACAATTATTGGCCAAATATTCATTATTTTTTGGCTTGAGAATATGATGGAATAAAGCAAAATGGCTCACTAAACTGTCTGCGCTTCTTTGTTATGAAACAGCAGTCAGTCCATGCAAGTTTGGGCGCGATTTTCACTATGGGTCATCCGGTAACAGTCTCTCTATGCTTTCGTACACGGGTAAGACTGCGTACATCCGACCCCCCTTACCCCAACATAGATGAGAGTCTTTGCGGCACTGGGTAAATGAAAATGAAAAAATGAAGACAATTATTGCATGTACACGAACAATGCATATTGGTTTGCAAACCTACAGATAACTATTATCATTGTGAAAATTTCTCTTTAAAAACTATTGTTTTGTTCACACAAACAACTCAAATTGGTCATAGAGACAACCATTGTCTGTGAATAACACTGATTTGTACACACAAACATTGTCTATGTGAGAAAAATCTATTCTAGAGCCCAAAATTTAATTTATTCAAAACTGCCGCAACCATAGACATTATTTTCAGTCTGTGTTTTAATTTGGCCCATAAATCAATGCTTGAAGAGTTGAAGGCACGTATTAGTTGTTTGAGACAACCATTAATTGTTTTTGTCCATTGATCATGTGTGTGAGCTCATATAAATTAAGGAAGTCATTAATTAAAGGACACACGAGGAACCGAAAAAATAAAGCATGGATGAAAGTAAAAGTTACTAACATGTGATAACCACAATTGCTGCCCATGTTAATACCACTTATCACCTGTAATAACAATTAACAGATGAGCATCATCATTCATCAACCTGGGATTGTATAGTCTCTTAAAACACACAAATGATCTAATGTCCTTCTCATTAGTTGTAGATTGGGATTGTATAGTCTCTTAAAACACACAAATGATCTAATGTCCTTCTCATTAGTTGTGTTTGGAAAATGACGTTTCAGCCAAATATTGACGGTTTGACTCTTTTTAATGAGTGAAAACATTGTTTGATAAATTCGTAATTGTTTGACCATAACGTTTTTAAACGAAATCGCTGAAATGAAAACGTTGCAATAACAACATTTTAGGTTAGTGTTTCAAAATATGGTGTTTTGTACTAATTGTTATGACCAACAAACTAAATTATTAAACATTTTATGGCAACACGCCAACTTATTTCGCTAGCCAAAACTGCTGATTGAATCCGATATTGACAACCCGCTAACATAATCTGCTAATCGCTAAATGTCAAACACGCCTTGTGTGATTAAAACATTGATCAATGTAATAAACTCGAATTTAAACTTCTCTTAATTATCTTGAAAAGTTTACTTGTAAGCCTTGTAAATTTATGCGAAAATCCCTAGCCCGGCGCGGTAGATCACCCTATGGCGATCGACTACGGATCCATCGCAATTTTCATTGACTTTAGGACATCCTCATTGTTGAGTTTATTTGGAGATCAATTTGATGACGTGGAAGATCTTTTTTGAGATTATCATTGAGAAGATAAGATTATTTTGTTAGATTATTTAAGAAAAAATCTGGTATCAAATTTCAAATCAAGATTATTTTGAAATTATTTCCAACTTTTTCATTTTCCAAGACTTTGAAATTTGTGATGTATGTGTACTACTTGGCACGCACCGACCGTCTCTATACTTGGTGTGAGAGTGCATCTTAAATGTCCCATAAAAAATCTTAGTAAATGAAGGTCCATTATTGAAGGGAAGTTAATACGGAGTACATTATGAGATTATTTAAGTTATTCATATGTAACGATGATGTGACAATAATGATCCATAAAAATCAGTTGAATGCTTCTCCAATTTTGGTGGCAGTTTCTTAATGATTCTTTCATCACTAATAAATACGGCTTTCTCGATAAACATTCACTGCCTTCATTGAATTGTTCTTAATTGTCTTAATACTCCTTCCAAAGGTTAATTAAGATTAGCGCAAAAATGTGGGATTCAGATGTGAACTTAAAATGTGTGATTGGAGATATCATGGCCCTCTAATATCCAATCGGACGGCTTGGCCTGGGTACACAAATTAAACATCATGTTTGTCTTTGGAGGCAGACAATAAAACTAATTAACTAGGATCTAACGAAGGCCTTGGTTTCCATAATGTTCCTGTTCCTATTTTACCCGGATCATTTTTGGAAGTGAGAATTGGTAAGAGTCAAGAAAAGAGTGCTATGGATTTTTCTCCTTCGTCTGTTTAGTAAAGACTTAGTACTTCGAAAGGAATATTGACTAAAGTTGTACATAGTTATAAATGTGCATATATATGTTGGTCTTTATATATGATAAAATTAAAATTAAAATTAAATGAGTTTCAAAATATCTATGAATGAGTATTTAAGATGTTTTTTATTGGATTGAAATTTTCTAATACGGTCTACCCTGCAATGATCTGATCTAGTAGATGTTTGTTCCCAACTATTCTGGAACCAAAATTAATTCAATTACAATCATTAAGACTGGGACCTTCATTTGATATTTCATCCTAATTTACTCCCCTTTTGGAACATTTAAGGGTTCTAACTTCTTAATAGACCCTAAATCCTACGGTTCTAGAATCTAATTTTATGGCCTTTTAACCCAATTGAAGGGCACGTATATACAACACAGCTAGAATTTGCATTATTCCATGCAGGGGTGAAGACAGGGAGGGGCTGGAGGGAGCCTCGGCCCCTGTAAGGAAAAAAATTCTTAAGTATATATTATATATAAATACTTTTAACCTATAGAAAATATGTTATATTTAAATTTTGGCCTCTGTAATGTAAAATTTTTAAGGTCTGGCCCCTTTAACCATAGATTTCTGGCTCCGCCACTGATTGCATGGAATAATATGATTTACACATGCATACACACTCACTAGACCTGTACAAAACCGGGCCGGCCCGCCCGGCCCGCCTGCACAAATAGGCAGGCTTGGGCATATATATTTACCGACCGGCCCGGGCCCGGCCCGGCCCGCAATAACATATGGGCGGGCTTGGGTTAGGGCGTAGGCCCGTTCGGGGCGATAAGCCCGGTCCGCTACATATAGTATATATACATTTTTTAATATATATATATATATATATATATACTAATTTATTTATTTATTTACATGTACACATACATGTATGTTTATATTTATTAATTTATCTTTATACATATTTATAGTTAATTATATTTAAATTTAACATAGTCAACATATGCTCAACACCACTGGACCAACTCATTTTCTTAAGTTTTTAGTTCTTAACAACTAGCCCAACCAAGATAATATCTACTTTTGTACTTAAAGATGGTACTTTGTGCTTGAATTTTTAAATTTTAGCTATAGTTTCTCATTATATTTTTTGTGCAAGTATCTTTATGCATATTTATAGTTAATTATGTTTAAATTTAAGTTTTTAGTTTTTAACAACTAGTCCAACCAATATAATATACTAGTATGTAGTATATTTTAGTACTTAAAGATAATACTTTGTGCTTGAATTTTAAATTTTAGATATAGTTTCTCATTATATTTTTCGTAAACGTGGTGACAGTCCTAAAAACATTATAAGCGTATTAGCAATTTTTTAAATGCTGTAATACTATTTATAAAGTATTAAAAAATTATACAATTTTTTAAAAAGTAAAGTTTTCCCGGGCCGGGCGGCCCGATGGACTACCCGGCCCGCTCTAACGGGCGGGTATAGACATGGGTTTAGGCCCGTTTTTGCGGGTCGGGCCCGCCCACACATGATGGGCAGAAAATTTATAAAAAGCCCGGCCCGAGCCCGTTTTTGTACAGGTCTAATACTCACACATGCATATTCACATGCTAACAAGAGTTTATTCCGCATGCCATACTCACACATGCATATTCACATGCTAACAAGAGTTTATGCCGCATGCCAAAAATAACTATATAGTACTACTTGACTAGGGGCGGAGTCAAGGCACTAAACCGAATTGAGCAAATACAAAGAATATTTTTGGGAAAAAATATACACAGAATTTTTTACACTAAAAATATAGACATTTTTAAAATTTGGGGTGGGTCGGGGCTAGGGTCAGCCCCTTAACTACACCCATGTACGTGACGTAGTAAATAGACCCACATACTATACTCATTCAAAATTAAATAGATAGCTTCTTAGAAGTTGTTTTTACTATAAAAATTTATAAGAAATTAGATATTTTGATCTAGAATTATGTTTTTTATTGGAACTTATATATTGTAAGTGAGAGTTTCTCAACCACTAATCATATATACATACATATATACTCAATCCACTAATCATATATACATACATATATACTCTACACATTTCTTAAAACTTTGTCATCTTTTAATTTTGGTCAATAAAGTTAAGCTTTGACTCATTATATACTACTCCGTACTACGTAGTATATTTATAAGAAATTATTTATAATACAAAATGTATATTTATAAGAAATTATTTATAATACAAAATGTTACTCCGTATTTGTTAATAATACTTTCATAGAAGTATAAAACTTATAAGTTTCATGAAAATATATAAACTAACATGATTGGCCAAAGTTTTCAATCATTGACTTGAAAATTCAAACATTACAAAGTTTCAAAGAAGGTGAAGGTAAATAGATACAATATGTTGAATTTTACAATATCCACAAGTTGTACTTTGACTGCATTTTATTTATTAATGTATTCAATATTTAATTTTTAAAAAAGAATATAAAATAAATTCATCTCATTTTTTATTTCCAAAATTTGAAAATTATAATTTTTTACTAATAAAGAAGAAATATATCAATGATCTAAGTTGTGTGTTGACAAATAAAAAAGGAGGAAGTACATGATAAAACAATTGACAAAATACTACTCCCTCCCTATTAAGGTGGTCGTCATTGGTCGGTGGTCCCATTTATCCATTTTAGTTTGTCCCATACTAAAATTCGCGGTGCTTATGTGGTCACCGGTGAAGCTAGGGGGCGTCCTAGGTCCCGTTCCACTCCAAATTTTAAACCAACTTTAAGTTAGTAAAAATTTCAGGTAAATATTTATACAAAAAAATCTTCATGCCAGCCTAGTTTGGCCTAATGCCTTGATTGTGCATGTGGTTGAAAATCATTCTTACTTTATTTTGATTCTATTAATTATATACCAAGTACATAAACTCACTTAAGGGCACAAAGGTAATACGATATGGGTGGTGCTACTTTGTACACATAAGATGTACACATTACTTGTACACACTCTATAGTTGCTTTGTACACAGCAGCTTCTGAACGAGCTGCCTTGGTAGACAAACAACTAGAGGAGCGTGTACAAGAAATTGTACAACTTAGGATTATTAAAAAAGACCTAAACTTCAACTTTTCTCACAATTACACTTTAAATGGGTGAATTAGTAAAAAGTAAGAATAAAATTATATTTATATTTCATATTTTTTAACTTAATTTTAGTTTTAAGTTTACAAACTTGTATTGCTTATATCGTATTGGTATTGATTAATATGTGTAATTTTGAAAAAAAAAAAAAAAGCATAATTGTTGAAAAAGATGAAGTTTGAGTCTTTTTTTATAGAGGTGAAAGTATAGGATAGATTTGTGAATTTGACGATAGTTTGGAATAAAATAAGCTAATAATCCTACAACTTATGTGTACAAACAGTGGCGGAGCCACTATAGTTCAAGGGTGTTCAATTGAACGCCTAAAATTTTGAAAAACATATTAGTATACATGTATAAATTTAATTTAATTATTTATTGTTCTTTCAAATTTTAATTTTACAAAAAACTGAACACCCAAAACTTGAAAAATAAATCCACAACCATGTATAAATAGCTTTTTTTTCATACTATATATGTAGATGGCATTAACCAAAAAGTGGAACTGTGAGAGTATTACGCATAAGAAGAATGAGATATGTCTTGAAGGGAGAATAAAATGAATAGAAGAAATGAAGAATGAGTGACACATCTCATTTTTTGTTTCTGAAAATGTTTTGGTAAACACATTTTTCTGTTTTTCTTTTTTCCAGTTTTCCAGCAATTTTTTTGTAAACACTTTTTTTATTTTCCATTTTCCACTTTTCTAATTTTCTGGAAAACTGAGAAATATATCTGTTAAATAGGTCTCTAGATTTTGATGAGAAAATAAAAGGAAGGTAAATAAGATGTGAGAATTGTTTAATTATTAACATGGTTAATTATTACCAAATGGGGAACTGAAGAGAAGAGAGCTTTGGAGATGCCGAGGGAAGCACAATCCGCTGGAGTTCCTGCATCCACGCCCAATTCAAGAAGCAAAATTCTTAATACAAAAAACCGACCGGCCGGCCGGCCATTCACTTCTGGTTCGTAAGGGTTAATTTTTGGGTGAATTGAATTTAGAGAATATTATCCGAAATATGACTAAAAATGTTTTGAAATGTTTTCGCAGTATCAGACTTCAAACGTGACAATATTTTCCAAACTTGACATTAATTAGTCCTATTTTTGTAATAAAAAACATGTCAGTCCTATTTTGAAATTTTCAAACTGTACTGCTAACCCGCAACCGAAAAGGCAGTGGCTCCGGCGATTTGAACCCTTTTGACGGAGATAGGGTGACGCCACGTGATGCTGTGGCTCACGGCGGACTTCTCCGAGTCAGGAGCGCAGACCAGCACGTTGAACCGGCCGGTCGCCACAAGGACTCCGACCAGAGCCCGCAACCCGGCCGCGTCCACTCCGTCGTCGTTCGTCACCAGAACCGTCTTCCGCTGCCCAACGTCGCGCTCCATCGCCGCCGGTGAAATGAACGCCGTTAGCTAGTTAATTGATTGTGGGACCGGAATTCGATCGCCCGCAGTTAGCTTCTTCGATTTGCCGGTGCTACAACGTACGTACTTATAGGCGGCTTTCCACATGTCTTTGGAGAAATGTCACGCCGCCAAAATGGTACGGAATAAGGACATGTGACATAACACCACAAATTTCATTAATAGGATATATCTTCCTTTTCTTTCTAAAATAAGGATTAGAACTGAACTTAGAATGTTTTTTTTTTGAATAAAACTTAGAATGTTTTTATTTCACTCTAATTTGCTAGTATGGTTTGGTCTGGCTTGTTAATTCTGGTTTGATCTAGTATGTTTAAGTCTGGTTTGGTTTGAACTAGTCTGGTCTGATAAAACGTCTGGTCTCTGTGTATTTTATAACTACGTAAGTCATGTCTGGGTCTATTCTAGTCTGTTTAAGTCTAGTCTAGTCTGGTTTGGTCTGTTAAGTCTGGTCTGGTCTGTTAAAGGCTATGTTTGGCACAACGAGCTGAATCTGGAGGCTATTGTCCGAATTAAGTACTATTGTCTGAATTAGAGACTATTGTCTGAATCTGAACTTTGAAGTGTTGAATCTGAATTACTTGCTGAATGAAGTAAACTCGTTTGATAGAAATAGCTGGAAAGGAGACTGAAAAAATTAAAATTACAAAAAAAGACATACTTCATATAATACTCCTCCGTATATAGCAAAAATACTTATTATTATACACACGTAGGCTATGTTTGGCACACAAAAGCCTCTAGCTTCTAGCTGCTCTATTCTTTAAAAAGACGTTAAAAGATTCTAGTTGCATGTTTGGCATGACATTTTTTAAGAGCTTTTCAAAAATTAAAAGATCTTTTTTGAGATGCTACCGGGTGTAGCATCTGAGAAAAGCTCGTGACTTATAGTATTAATTAGTCCTAACAGCTTGTATACCAAACCAAACTAAATCAAACAGTCGGCTTTTTACTGAACAGCTATCAACTTTTCTTTTTAAGATCTTTTCAGTCACTAAAAGCTAACAGTTACTAAAAAGTTCACAAAAGTATCTTTTCAGCTAGTTGTGCCAAACATACCCATCAAATAAAGCAAAAAGGCAATAGCAATCGAATAATCCAGATTCTGGAGAAGCATATTTGACATATTCCCATCAATTGGATAGTCGTATTACAAATGAACTATCAATCGGTTTGTACTTATCAGCATAATTAACAAGAGTGAAGAGGTGTAGTTTCCGGTGTTGTTACTCTTACGATTCAATATATTCCATGCTCCTCCTCAATATAATTTCTTTTATCGATCACAAGAAACTCCAAATAATGTGGTTTCAGGCTTCAATTTTTTGTAACCCTTGTTAGTACCAAATAACAGCCCATGTAATTTATTTGTATACAGCACCCGATGCCGCTACCAGGGCCAACGTGAAGGATAAGGAACTATGAACTCGCTAGCCACAGAGTTGTAATTTTGTGGTTATCAATTGACGGAGAAGGTTAACTTGGGAACGTAAAGTCTAAAAATGGTCGTCTGATTACTAACGCTATCTTCCCTAACGTTCTGATTCAGTCCATTTATTCCACTTGAAGCCTTGTTTAGCTCTTCAAACAAACGGGGCTAGTTTAATTAATATTGACTGAATTATAGAAATTTCAGTCCTTTTTGAGCTGAAAGGACGTGCCAAACATAACCTAAGTCTGGTCTAATTTGAGACTGAAAATAATCCAAGTTAAAACATTCGTGCTCCATATCTATTTTTAGAATATAATCATGTTGGGAAAATGTGTTAAAATTGCATTAAATGGTCAATTTCATGCAGAATGTTGAGTGGGTCCCACTTCTGATTTGAGTTGGGAGAAAATGGTTTCTGATTCTCCTTGTTATGGTAGGGCTGGGCACGGGCCGGGTCGGGGCGGGTAATGCAAAATAAAATGGAACCGCCGGTTCCATTGTACGGTTCGGTCCGGTCCGGGTATTACAATTTTCAAAATAGGAACCGGAAATTACCCGGCCCGTTTGAAACGGGTCGGTCCGGTCCGAGTTTTACGGTTTCTATTCTCATGTCTTGAAATTAGTAAAAACTCACGAAGTTCCAAAAATCAATAATCAATAATATAGGACATTAGCAAGTTTGAAAATAACAACATAGTGGTGCACATATAACACAAGCGAAAAGTCCAATAATACTCCATAATTTCTTGTATATAAGTTTCAAACAATTAAAGAAATTCCAAAAATATGCAACATAGCCAATTTACATATTTTCTAACATTTGTATTTAAACATGTTGTCTGACATCACATATTATAGTGATTGCTTTTTTTTATATTAAATTTTCAGTATTAGCCAAAGTTGACACACACATGGTGGGTGGTAAACACAATTTATATATTTTAATAACAATATAATACAAAAATATAACAAAATCATCTTTAACAAATAATTAAATTCCATAGAAAGGAATAATTCAATAACAATAAAAAGTAATAAGATATTTATGAAACATTTAATCAATAATTTGAAAACAAAAGGATGTTACTCCAACTCAATTTAAAATCCTACTTCTAGCAAAGGAAAGAAAACTATTTTAAAACCGATTATCACAAAACTATTAATAAATTAATATACAATATATATAACGGGCCGGGCCGGGTACCCGTTATTTTTTAATTTTGGAACCGGTCCGGTTCCTTAAAAAAAATTACCCGACCCTACCCGGACCGTTTTATGGCAACAAAAAATGGAACCGGCCCGTTTTGGACCCGAACCGCCATTACCCGGACCGGACCGCGGTTCCAAGACCCGTTTGCCCACCCCTATGTTATGGGCTCCAATTCGATATATGGTACACTCAAAACGAATAACCGGTGAATGAGAAATTGATTCTCGAAGTTCACTCGTTGAAATGGAGAAAATCAGGAAAAAGATGATTTCTAAAGTGATTTAACCACACCGGAAAACTCAAGGAATTTTGAACCCCTTATAAAGGTTAACCTCTTTGAATGAGTTAAGATTCCTATGTGGAAAGTTGAAATATAAAGTATTTGAAAAATAAAAGTTGTGATTTTGGGTATGTAGTTGAAAAATAAAAGTTGTGGAGACCTAACTTAAACATATCGAATCAGATCAGACCAGCTAGAATTTTTCAATCCAAACAAAAACATGTTTAATAATGCATGTAGACATGTAGTCATGTATTTGAACTAAATTAAGGCAGTAGTGTAGTATACTGTTGTTTGAATCTAGTTTAGTAAAGTTAATTGATTTTTTAATGGTGTACTTGTATTTTATTCGATCAGAAAAGATTGGTTCTATATATTTTAATAAGAATGGACGATATGTAGGAAAAAATGTACACAATATTCACTTGTTTATTCCATATATATGTCATCAAGACAAAACATGAGTTAATTATGAAATAGATAAGTAAAATTTACATATTTAAAAACTGTATCAAAAACTCTATAAAATTGCAAATTTCAAAGTGTATATTATTGAGTGTAATGACAAATTGATATCCTAAACAATTAAGAACAAATCAAGACCAACAACAAAGTTTAAGTCCCAAAAAATTTTGATGTCGACGAACATGATATATTGAATCGATACATGATATCGGAGCAAAAAAAGAAAGAAAGATAAGAAGATAAAAGGGAAAACTGTCAAATAGGTCCTCGAACTTTCATAAAAAAGTCAATTAAGTCCTTCTATAGTAGACTCTGTCCGGTCGTCGCGATTTGGGGTGGTTCCCGATGGAATTTTTTGATGAAACTTTTTGAGCATCTTATTCATCAAGTCTAATTTACTCATACCAAATTTCATCTAAAAATTTAATCGGGAGCGTATTCAAATTAATTCGATAACGCAAAAATGCGCAGTTTTCTTCAAGAATTAATTTGAATGTGTTCCCGATTGAATTTTTAGCTGAAATTTGGTATGAGTAAACTAGACTTGGTGAATAAGATGCCCAAAAAGTTTCATAAAAAATTCCACCGGAAACTGCTCCAAATCGCGACGGCCGGATAGAAGCTCCTATAGAAGGACTTAATTGACCTTTTTATGAAAGTTCGAGAACCTATTTGACAGTTTTCCCAAGATAAAATCATAAAGTGTGATAAAATAAGATAAGCTTAAGATTTACTCCCTCCGTCCCGCAAAGAAATTCCCTCTTTCCTTTTTTAACAGTCCCAAAAAGAAGTTCTCATTTCCCTAAATTGAAAGTTATCCTACATCAAAACAGTGTCAAACAGTGCAAAATAGTGTCAAACAGTGCCAAACAGTGTCAAAACAGTAAAATTTACCCCCTTGTAAGTTTGTTTCCTTAATATGAGGCCGTTTGGCAACACTGTTTTTGGCTTATCCGCCAACTTTTTCACTAAACACGCGATTTTTGCTTTTGCGCGCTGAATTGTGTAATAAGCAGAAAAAGTAAGGTTGGAGTTACTTTTGTGGCTGTATTGGCTGAAGTTACTATAGATGAACATTTTAGCTATTTTTACATATAATTTTTTCTTTACTTTATTGATAAAATATATTTTAAAAATAATTTTTTCTTAAATCAGCAGAATCAGCCAATGCAACCACTTCAGCCAAAACTTCATAAATTTCAGCAGAATCAGCCAAATCAACCGATTTCCGTGCTACCAAACGGGCTCTATGTGTGTAGGTCAAACCGGGAATTTCTTTGCGGGACGGAGGGAGTATATAAATATAAGATAAAGATAAAAGTGATACTACCTTCTTCCCAAATTCGATGTCTGGTTTTAGTTTAACACAATTGTTAATAAAAAGGTTGAAAAGTAAAGTAGATAAAATTTGAGTACAATAAAGTAAAATGAAATGACCTGAGCCACATTTTTCTTGCCTAAAAAGGAAACAAGACTTTCATTTTGGGATAAACTATAAAAAGAGAATAAGACAAACAAAATGTGACAGAAGAATGAAAACGATAAAAATGAAAAAAATGATTAGATAGAAAGTAAATAATATCGAATTGAATTGATAAATTATTTTGAGAATAAAACTTTGGTAGATTCTATGATACCCATAAGGTACCA